TAAATTATTCATATAAATAGTGCATATAGGGATATAACTATTGAACATACTCTATAAAGGAGAATTCCTAATGGTTATGTATTAACTTAAAATTTTGTCAATAAGAAATTCTTAAGAAGAAATATATATAACTTCCTTAGACTTGAGATTATCATAATAATTAACAAGATATTTATTATACTTTGATTTCGGACACCTAATACCTAAAGGTGTTAGTTGAATGATTATTGGGTGTAATTAAATTATTGTAGAATTAAATGATTAATTAAGAAAGGATCCATCGACCCTTGGTAATGAGTTTGAGTTTTATAAAGAAAATAAGGACCTTGGTCAAGACAATTGAAATAATAAAGAAAAAAAGGTTTTTCTTGTATTTTTCATTATATGTTAACTTATTAGAATTTGACAATTAAACCATATTCTAAAGTTAATATAGAGCTGTAAAATGATGAAAGAAAATTTTATGTTAGTCTTCTAAAGGTTCTTGGAAACATTATTTCATACTATCCGGACGTTACTAGACGCCAACCTTAATTAGTAAATTAATGTAGTTAATTTACTACCGGTTTAATTTTGAACCTATAAGGTCACACACTAACGAGTGTTCTAATCTTTGCTCAAGAAAAAATATTATTTGATAATTAAATTAAAGAATTTGATTATATCAAATAATTTTTTTTTCTTATAAATAAAATATTATTTATTTATTTTTGACTAGCATCAAAATATAAATAATATTTGTTTATATTAAGTTAGAAAAACACGTCAGTTTTTTTTCAATTTCAAATTGAAAGATTCAATTTTAATTTTGACCTAGTCAAAAGTGGATAAGAAAAGATAAAAACTAATTTTTGTTTGAATATTTGATTATTCCTATTTTTTAGAAGATAGGATATGAATGTTGTTGCTGAGAGAATAGATATGTTTACATATTTATAAATATACAGCTCTACCGTGGAAGATGAATACACAGAAAAGATATAAGAAAATTAGTTATTTTCTCTCTTATCATTCTTTGAAAAATTGTTTGGTCAAGAGGTTGACAAACAAAGATTAGTCTCGGTGTGGATACACGTGAGACCTTCATAGTCTTGAAGGAAATTTTTTAAATTTCAGACTTCAACCGAGTAAACTTTATTTGCTTTCATAAATATCTTATTAATTATCATGTGTAGTTTTAGCATAAAGTAGATCTTTTTATTTCCGCTGCATATGTTTAAAACATGATTGAACTAACAAGTTATACGTAGATAAAATGTTTATAAAAAAAACCAATAATCACACATTTTCAAATGATATGTGTGAGAATGCTGAACACCTTTCATTTATATTTTTAAAATATATTTATACTTAAATCATAAAGATTTAACTTTACTTGTACAAACTCTTTTGTAAAAATAAATAATGTTATTTTAAATATTTAATTCTTAGTTATTTGTTTTAGTTTTTTTTACACTCTTATATAATTTTCAAATATGTATGTGTTTGTAATGAATAACAATTACTCTATATATAATATGCTCTAGTCATGTAAAAATAATTAAATTTTAATAAGCTTTTTATTGTTCATATTATTATATATACAAAATATCACTCCTCTTACATATAATTTAGTGAGTCATATGTTTAAATTTGTATAAATGCTAACATTGGGTTTGGAATAGTGAAGATGGCGGCGACGAAATAAAAGCAAAATAAGAGAAATATCTGCGAATAATACTAATAATCGTTTGTTTTAATAGAAATGGGTCAGATGATAAATTTAAAAATGTGGAATCCACGTTTGTAAATTTGTCCATTGAAAATAAAGAGAACTATGAAAGAAACAAATGATAAAAAAAATGTTTTTACCCACTTACCCCCAATAATTGACAACTACTTTCCACCAACACTCAAACTCACCAATGTACTCATATTTGAATAAGATTCTCTCCCTAATGCTCTTCTTCTCAATAGACCTCCTTTTTGCCTTCACTTATTCGAATAAGCTAGCTTTTCTCTTGCTACTCTTGTGATTTTTGCGAAGCCTCTCTTTTTGGCTTGTCATTATTGTTCATTTCAATTTTACATTTGTTTTTTGATCATTTTTTTGGTGATGTATAGTTGTGTGGTAGTGTTATATGTTTGTTTCAACTCTATTTTATTTTTGTTGTTATTGATTGATTTTTTTTTTTGGACTAATCTAAGCTTAGATGAAGTTATTTGTTTGATTTGTGTTTTAGATCTGGTATATTTTTCATGTTTTGGGTTGGTTTGGATGTATTCGAATACATACCTCAATTACCTTATTCAAATAAATGATGCTTTTATTTAAATGCATGATACAGTGCCAATTTATTTGAATAAAAGGAGATTTTATTCGACTACAATGTTTTTTACTTCAATAAAAGGCCATTTTATTAGAGTAAAAAGCATTTTTTATTTGAATAAAAATTTTATTCAAATATAATGTTTTTTATTTAAACAGGGCGTTTTATTCAAATAAGGGCTCATTTATTTGAATACCTTAAACAAATCTATACCTATTATAAAAGAGATACATTTTAGTAAACTTCATTTTGGCCCCCACTTTTTAGTGGACTTTTATACCCCTTGAATGTAAAAAAAAAAAAAAATTCTTATATCTTCTACAACTTCTAATATTTATCTGTATATAATTATTAGAAGCACAGAGTGTTTCAGTCCCTCTAATTGAATATAAAAATGCTAATAGAGTGTGATAATATGTTGACAAACAACAACACATTAAAGAAGATGTTGAAGATCAGGGTGACAATCAAAATGATGATTTCTGTCATGAACCAATTTCTTCTAAGGATAGTAATATTTTAAATCGTATATATACTATCATTGATGGCTTACAAAGCGGATTATAAAATTTAACCGTTAATGTTCAAGCTTCAGATAGATACGAAAGTTAACACAAGATTTGAAGAATTGAATTAAAGGATAATTGAACTTGAAAATCTTTAATGCACAGATCTTCTAAGTAGCTCATTATGATCTAACTGTCTTCATATTTTTCCATTTATGTGTATGTATTTTATGTTTTTTAGTGTATGTGCATAAATACCAAATTTAACTTTACACTTGTATTGTTAGTGTGAACCTATTTTATACATTTTATTATTTATTTTAATTAAATTTTATTAAATCTAAATATGATTGTACATTATTAATATATTAATATTAATTGTAGAAATAATTACATAAAAATTATTAATAATTATTCATTAAAAATGGTTGTTTATCATTAATATGATTTTTTTTTCACTTTTTCAAAGATAATTATTATATTTGTATTTTATTTTTTTGGGCAATATATATATATATATCTAAGAATAAAATAGAAAAAAATTATATACAAAATAATAAATAACAATAAAACTATAATTACCCATTTGTTTTCAAATGTTTTATACGAATCGGTAATTGTAATTAATGATTAATATCAATTATAAATATATTTATTAGAATAAAGTCACTCTAAAACTCTAAGAAGTAACTTTATTTGAAAAAAAATATTATTACTTAAGAAACAACAAAGTTTATTAGAATAACACCACCTTCTCAAACAATGTTATTCAAACACTAATTTCAAATGAACAACAATTTCATAGAGGAGTAAAATCATAATTTTATTATTATTTATAATTTCTCACTTCTCTCCATTTAAACAAAATAACTTTACAATTTTTTTTCTATTTTTTTAAAAATCAAACTACTTTATTTTCCCTTTATTTCTTACCTATTTATATTCTCTTATTTCTCTTTATTCTATTTTTCTTCGCTTTATTTTTTCCCTATTTATTTCCTCACAATCAAACATTCAATTGTTGTTGTATAGTTACAATCTTTTAATGATCAGGCTAACTTTTATATTTAGATAAAATATATAAATTTAAGTTACGAGTCAAAAAGTTTTTATATATAAAGTTAAGGGTGTTCCTAACTAAAGGCACTATTAAAGAATTGATACGTAATTTTTATTTTCTATTAAAAACTGCACTTAAAGTTACGTGTATTTATTTACTTATTTTTTATATTTTAACCAGTATACTTTAGGGAATATTTTTCTAATAACTAGGTGAATTGAGTGATTGAAATTTGGAGCAGATGTATAACAATTTAAGTTTGTTTTATATCATTATTATTATTATTATTATAGTTTTTAAAATTGTAAAAAATAATATTGTGTTAAATTTGTTTTCTGGTACAGTATTTTTTATTTTTATTTTTAAAGCTATTTTTTTCTTTCTAAAAGATGATATTAGTGGAAAAATAAATTAGATATTATGTAAATTATATCGACATGAAGTCCATGTTGGAAATGATGTAGTCACGTTATAATTATTAATAGATTATTATCTATTTTTTTTTAAATAGTTTTAAGTATATAATTGATATTAAATGTTATTTTTATTTATTTATTAACATTTAATATTATTTATACATTTAAAACTATAGAAATGAACAAGAAATTCAGAAAATTTAAACTCATGATGAATGTAGTTTAATTTTAATTTTTAGTTTATCAATTTATCTGTGCAAAATATATTCTCTTTGAAATTTAGGATCCAATCTATTATCTATTCATATTTATCTGGTTATTAAATAATAAATATAAGTACCATCTTTTCCATTGAAATTATAATACAAAAATATGCCTTAATGAATAAAATTTACTTTTAGACACTGATGAGATGAATAAGATACAATATTTCATCTCCAATTAATAATTAATAATTAATAATTCAGACCCATCTTAGGAAATAAGAAAAAGGTGAGATTCTTACAGGGGGCGTTATGCTGCTGTGAATTGCGTGACGAAGTCTCAACCCATTTTAAAATTATAGCGGCAGCCTATTGGTTGGTCTGGGAGAACACGGATCGCCAAGCGAGTGATCATGAGCCGTGGATAAGATCTAATCCAACGATCCACATTTCTCTGTGGTGGATCCTCGTAAAGGCGTCCAAAGCTTTATAAAGAAGAAGGGTGCGCTCATTTCTTGCCATCACTTTCGCACTCGTGATTATTCCCTTTCTACCATCACACCGAAATCTAGGGTTTCCATGGACACCACCGGAAAGATCAAGAAGGGCGCCGGAGGAAGGAAAGGCGGTGGCCCAAAGAAGAAGCCGGTGACAAGGTCCGTGAGGGCCGGTCTCCAGTTCCCGGTGGGTAGAATTGGGCGTTACTTGAAGAAAGGAAGGTACGCGCAGCGCGTGGGTACCGGCGCTCCCGTTTACCTTGCTGCAGTTCTTGAATACCTTGCTGCTGAGGTAGTCAATTTTTCATGACCCACTCTTAAATTTGTGGTTTTTAGTGATTTGGTGTTTGGAAATTGAAGTGGGTGTGCGTGGATTGTGCAGGTGCTTGAGTTGGCCGGGAATGCTGCACGTGACAACAAGAAGAACAGGATAATCCCCAGGCACGTGCTTTTGGCTGTGAGGAACGATGAGGAGTTGGGGAAATTGCTTGCTGGTGTTACCATTGCTCATGGTGGTGTGCTTCCCAACATCAACCCTGTGCTTTTGCCTAAGAAGACTGAGAAGGCTGCTAAGGAGCCTAAGTCTCCATCCAAGGCAAAGAAGTCCCCCAAGAAGGCATAAAAGGATTAGTTTATTGTCTTTTTACTTAGCCTGCACAATGTACATTTGTGTTTAGGTTTTTTTTAATCCTTTTCCCAGTCACATCCCTCATATGTTTTCTTTTTCTTTCTCTTTCTCAGTCGGTGTAAACACCAGGCCCTCCCCTCAGTAATGAATGAATTTATTTTTATAATATTTATATAATTTCTTCTCTGTGGAAATAATTCTTTGATGTATGCCACTGCAACGAAAGTGGGTGGACGAATTGAGATCGAGAAAGAATGAGTTGTCGAGTGATTTTGATTTCGTCATGATTTGGTTTAGTGTGCGTGGAATCATGTAAAGAAGTAAATTTTACTTGATGTCATGTTTTGTGCGGTATTAATTTTTGTTTATTCTCGGATGCGCTACTGAGGACAGTGGCGTGAGGGAAATGGTGTCAAATTTGTACTTGGTGGCTTGACTTGGTTTTGAATTTTCTTTCTTATTTACTACAAGTCTATAATAAGATATGCTAATTTGTGCAAATAAATGATTCTTTTGGGAATGTAAATTTGCAGATAATTTGACCATTTTTTAATCTGCACGCAAGATTGGCGAGGCAGTTTGTTGTCGTTGTTGTTATTATAATTATAATTACTTTTTTTTTTAAGCTTCCCGTGTCCCCCTTCCCAATCCACTTTTTTTTAATTTTATTTTTATTTTTAATCTTATTACTACAGCTATCACTTGGCTCTGGTTGTCTCTTTGATGTCTTAGAAGTTCTAACATAAGAAATAAGACTGCTTGTTTGAATAAGTTTAACTTGGATTTATAGGTAATAAAATTAAGAATAGATAAATTAAAGTTTTGAACAAGATAAAATTAATTTATCTATATTATAAGTTAATTTATAAAATTTTTCGTATATTTGTTTTGAATGTTTTTTGCTTGTTTTTATACGACAATTTGAATGTTATAGTTAAGAATGAATTCAGAAATCTGTAACCTATTAGATAAGTGATGGAGTGTTTATTCATAAGTGAAAATCTTTATGGGAATTATTGTTTAGCAGAAATATCATTAATTTAGATAATAATGTGTAACAGATGGGTTTTGATGAGAAAAGGTTGGGTTGTTACTTAGAGATTATGAAACAGAACTTGCAGTTATCATTATAAGGATCTGTAATGATAAAGAAGAGTAACGTGATTTACATTACTCTATTTTCGTAGTTGTCAACACTTAAACTACCTTGAAGGTGGTTCTTTGGTTGGCCTAGCTGAGTTGGGAAGCGGCTCGCCTAGTGGCCTTAGATCGACTTGGCCAAGTTACCTTCAGCTCATGACATTTTTTCTTTATAAAAGCAAAGAAATATGTCAATTCATCTAGGAAGAACATCAACATCAAAAACCGTAAGATGTGCTTCTCTGTGTTCAAAATATGATTCTTCAAACAGATGCACATTCGATTAGTTAAAACAAAACGGAACATGCACTGAATGTCTGTTCAGTATCCTGGTTTGGATGTGCTTTAATAGCATCAAAGGTTAAAACAAGGCTAAAAACAAAGAAGTTATAAGTATTTGCTTTTGTGGATGTTGATCAATTTTGGCAAGTTGAAATACCAAATAGGCATGATTGTTTTCATGTTTATACGTGTTTTTTACACTAGTTCTCCTGCAAAGGCTTGAAATTGATTGGATTGTTAAGGAGAAACCGTGTAACATGTGACAGTTGCGAACTGAGTAATTTTACTTTATTAAACGCTTTGTGTTGTATATCACGATTTTTAACCAAGTTAATTTTCTACTATGTACTAGTTCTCCTGCAAAAGCTTGAAATTATATGAGATTTAGTATGTGAGTATTTTATAATTTGTTGTCTTATAAATATATTATGTATTTATTTATTTATTTTATTATATGTAATTTGAGATTTTTTGTATTTTAAGTTTATTAGGAGTGTTATTATTATTATAATTTATTTTATGATGTAACAAATTTAAGATTTTTTGTGTAATAAATCTTAATTATAGTAATTTATGTGAATGATTTAAATATTAAAAAAATATTGAGAGAAATAAATATGTTGAAATAGCAATTAATAATTCAGATCCATGTTAGGAAATAAGAAAAAAGTGAGATTATTACACGTGGGTGTTGTTGTGATCCATATCTGAAGTCTGAAGTCTAAACCCATTTTAAAATTATAGTGGCACCCCATTGGCTGGTTTGGGAGAACACGGATCGCCAAAGGAGTAACGAGGAGGCGTGGATAAGATCTGATCGAACGGTTGAAGTGTTTGTGTTGAGGATCCTTCGTAAAGGCTTCCAAAGCTTTAAAAAGAGAAGGGTGCCAACGCACCGTTCATCCGCATCTTGCCATCACTCTCGCACTTGTGATTATTCCCTTTCTAGCACCACACCAAATCCACGCCCAAAATCTAGGGTTTCCATGGACACCGCCGGAAAGATCAAGAAGGGCGCCGGAGGAAGGAAGGGTGGTGGCCCCAAGAAGAAGCCGGTGACCAGGTCCGTCAAGGCTGGTCTCCAATTCCCCGTTGGAAGAATTGGGCGTTACTTGAAGAAAGGAAGGTATGCGCAGCGCGTGGGAACTGGTGCTCCCGTTTACCTAGCTGCTGTTCTCGAATACCTAGCTGCTGAGGTAGTCAATTTTTCATGACCCACTGTTAAATTTATGATTTTTGGGGGTTTTGTGTTTGGAAATTGAAGTGGGTGTGTGTGGATTGTGCAGGTGCTTGAGTTGGCTGGTAATGCTGCTCGTGACAACAAAAAGAATAGGATTATCCCCAGACACGTGCTTTTGGCTGTGAGGAACGATGAGGAGTTGGGGAAATTGCTTGCTGGAGTTACCATCGCTCATGGTGGTGTGCTTCCCAACATCAACCCTGTGCTTTTGCCTAAGAAGACTCAGGCTGCTGCTAAGGAGCCCAAATCCCCATCCAAGGCCACCAAGTCTCCCAAGAAAGCTTGATGATAAATGCCTAGATTAATTGTTTTCGGTTTAGTATGTATATTAGTCTTTAGATGCTTTTGTTGTAAAAGAAAAATTTCATGTGTTGGAAGACACTGTAATTTTTATCTTGTTTTCTCTCATTTAAGAGTTTGCTACATTAATGGAAACTTCTTGTTTTCGGTTCAATTTTCTTTTTTGTGTTTCTGTTTGACATGACTTGTTTTTCTGTTACAGAAGTGATTTATTATGTTTGTCGTTCTTTGTGGTTGTGAATATTTGATTAGGTTGTTATTGTGTAGTAACATATCTGATGCGTTTGAGTTGAAGTGTTTATTTATTTATTTATTTATTTATTTATTTTTTTTAGTTTTTCTTCCCCTGAATTTTTAATTTTTACTTCTTTTGTAATGACTTTAAGCTTCTAGTATTTTTTATGCTTGAAACAATAGTTAGGAGATGATGTTTCTTTAACTATAACTATTGGATGGATTGCTAAAGTTATGCTTACTATTATTCATTTAGTAGTATGTTGTGGTTAGATTGATTGAGTTTTTTTAACAGTTCGGACAAAGGTGAAATCACCCGAGTTTCTAGTTTTCTGAAGTGATCCATTTTTATTTTTATTTTAGATTTTACTTTATTTTTGTTTAGCTTTTGCAGTTTTCCCGCCTAAATCTTCTATTGAATGAGTTAAACTTGTTTCGATGCACTTTTGTGTTTTCTCGCTGTCGCTATTGGTGTACGGTCGTTTTAGGCAGTCAATTCTTAACTGATTAGACTTTATTAGAGTTCTTTTTACGTTGAATGATTCAAAGAAATGGCAGAGGAATAACATTTCATCTTTTTTTTATTTTGTTTCTATCTTTTACAATTGAATGCAATGCAATACTTTGCAATAAATTGTAATAACGATGTTTTACTCACTTACACCAACATTTCTTTCTCAAATCTTATTAATGATTTTAGTGTTGTTCAATTAAGGGTATAGTTTTTATTATTGTTCACCTTTTTCTTACTAAAGCGAATACTAGTTTTATTGTTTTATGCAAATGCCGTCAAGTAAAAGTAATGTAATACTTTCTCTAGACTATAATATTTGATGTTTGAAGTTTTTGTCACTTAAGAAATATTTAATGTAAGTATTGTCTATAATACCTTCATTTTATATCTATTTCAAAATCAATTATGAGTCGAAATAATAATTATTAAATAAGAATATATGTGAACAATGTTAATTAATGTTACTTGAAATGTGAAAATTATTAAATATTTTGAAATAAAGAAATAGCTTTCAACAAAAAATTATGATATGAAGGGAGTAATATTTTAGACACTAAATTTCAAATTCTAAGCCAACACAGACCGGTTTTGCAAATGTGTTGTATCACAATGTCTCAAAATTGGACATTGATATTCTCATAATGTTAAGTCCCTTGTTAGATGATTGAAGAATATGAAACCAAGGAGCCTTGAGCACAAAAAAATAAATTTGTTTAGGTGACATTGCACAGATGATAATGTATTTATTGTATTGTTATCTATGTGAACAATCCAAATCATGATCTATTATGAACTCTCAAACTTATATAATCATGAATATTAATTGCATGAGACATACAGTAACATTGACCTCAAGGATTTATCTGTGTGATATGAAAGTCTGCAAAGACATAATAGGTTTTTTGGATAATAAACTAACAATAAAACTATCAAGTTTTTTTCAATAAGAATGATTCAGGATTTCACAGAGAGCGAAACAGAGAGCTCTCCAAAATCTTTTGAAACATTTTTAAATGAAGAAAACAAATGTTTCTATGATTGACAGACTAGGTCAAGAGGATAATGTGAAACTAGCTGCTGAAATAACAAGTCAAAAGATAGGACCTAGTTTAAAGGACCTAGCCAAAAGGATAAGAGGAAGTCTAAAACCAAATTAAAAAGATCAATTTTGAGTAAAATATCTATTTTATAAAAACTAAATCAAATAAATATATCAACCCTTTGAAATATCATCTAAAAATATACAAAAGTTTTACTCAACATCTGTTGAAATATTATATTAACAAAAGATTATTTCATGCACGAATGTGGACACTGTATATAAGACATTGTCTTCAGGTCATTTCTCGTTTGCAGGTTCAACCAAAATCAGCTTTCCATTAACAATCTGCGCCATGCAGGACAGGAAATGAGCATAATGTATTGAAGTAAATTCAAAAATCAATTCCATAAAACATACAGGCGCTATGTAAATTTATTGTTAGATCCATGTGTGGGCCTAAGATTCTTTTTATTAGTGGGTGCTCCAATAACAACGAGAAAGGTAGAGAACATATCAAGATATAGCAAGACTACTGTTCTGTTCACGCGTTAGATGTGTGCATGCCTAATAATTTCCATGACCCAGCCTTTTCTCAAAATTTTCATCTATCATACAGGCTGCATAACAAAAATTGTACAATCTTGATGTGTGTATGTTCAAATATGATCATTAATTATCAAACTACAGTAAGCCCAAGCCATGTATGCGATGAACATTAAGCTAAATAATTACTTAACATATGAATTAGGAAAAGAATTTGACATGCACAGGACAATTCCAACACGAGGACAAGACAAGAGACACAACACAGTTTACCTTTTGCATAGTACATATCTATTCAAAATAGTAGAGGGTTACAAGCCAGGAATTTACCATGATAATACAAAATTAAATATCAGTATGGAAAGAGATTGCTGATACCAAATGTTAGTTAACAATGAGAGAAAAAGAGAAAAATGCAAGTACGATAAGTAATATGATGTAATAGAAAAATTGAGAGAGAGAAATAATGGGTGCTAAAAGAATATTTGATGTACAAAAGTGTTTGCATATCATCATCACTATCAGTATTTTTAATTGTTTAATGCAAGGTAATAGCAGTTTAAGTACATAACTAACAAAAAAATTATGGGGTTTCATGAGTAACTCACAAGAAGCATTATAACTTTAGATCTTTCTCTCAAAATAAAATAATGGGCAGTTTGTTGATCAGAAAAAGATTGATATGCAGTGAATATACTCCACGTTTAGATTATAATTTTCTGCATGGGTACACCTGCCTAAACCCAATAAATTCAGCACAAGTAGAAGTACATTATAATTATTCCATGGGAAGAAGATATAATTACATCCATTTTCCTTCTTCATGGCTTCACTCTACCACCACTCGAGGAACATTATTAAGTTGAGGACAATATTACACACTTTCCTCGTGTATCAACAACCCTTCAAAGTAGGAATTAAACAACTTTCCATCAAAGAAAGATGCTCAATGGAAGTCCTAACATGGAATAAAAGCAGTTAGGGAAAAAAGGTTAAGTAGCTCTAGAGTAATTTTTTTTGTTTTTTAAATATCAAGTCTACTATAACCATAAATGCAGCCAAAAGGCTTCAGTATAACTTTACGTGGTAGTCCAATGATGTTTCCATGGACCATCAAAAGCAAGGAAGGACCCGCTTGTTCATGTCATAGATTAGAGACAAAAACAGGGAAAGCCAAACTAGAAAACAAACGAAGGCTTTAAATCCATACGAACAATATATATTTATTATTTCCAATCAGCAATGAATCAGGCATTTCAACAAACAGCAGGAGTGCAAAGTGACTTACAACAGCAACGCAGCTAACACAATTATACGAACATGGAACAAGTTGGAAAATCAGTGAAAATTACCCTGCCGTTCATGGCTTTCATGGCATTTTCCGCTTCAATTTCAGACTTGTAGGAGACAAACCCAAACCCTTTTGGCCTTTTAGTTCTAGGATCCATGACTAGATCAACTGATAACGCGGAATTGAACAGGAGAGTCAGCAAATGGGGAAAGGGAGAAGATTTGAGAAGAGAGAAAAAGCACAAGACAACAAAACACACACCCTTGGTAACCACCCCGAATGGAGAGAACAAGGTTTTGAGCTGCTCCTGTGTAGTGTAAAAGGATAATCCTGAAAAATGAAATGAAGCAATATAAAGGGTTGGGATTGAATTAGGTCAAAGAGAGGGAGGAGAGAAGAACCCTAACTGCACACAAAGAGCTTTGTCCCGATTCTATGTGACATCTCGGACTTTCCGATTCCAATGTTAACACTGCCAGCATCAAACCATTCTACAATTTTCCTCTTATTATCACCAGGGAAGCTGCTTCTCATTTAAAAAATAAAATATTGTGTGATTAATTGATTACTGTGATTAGTTTTTAGTGTGAATTTTAAAAAGGAGTAATTATAAGGATAATCTAGTATGAAATCTAGACATTCTTATTAAGTTATGAACGGTTTGAAAAACTTAAAAACAAACAAATTTTATTAAATTTTTTTTAAACTAAGATACTTCATTCATGTACTTCTTTCAAATGATTGTTTGTATGGCATTGTCGATTCACAACTTGCACATTTAACTTGCTATCAAACTAAAAAATATCATGAGATAAATTCAACTCAATTGCCCATTTGACAACATCACACATGAGGCAAGAGCTTCAGCTTCCATTGGAGAAATGATTCTGTTGCATGAAGTTGTTTTGTCAGACATTAAAAGTCCATGATGATCACGAATGCATGAGGCAAAATCAAATGTTCTAATGTTAGTGAATATTGCAGCATGAATATTGATTCTTAGTTGACTGTTTTCAGGTTTTTCCCAAGTACCAAAAGTAGCAGCAATTTGCACATGATGAAGTTTAAATGGGTGTTTGGTTTTAATTTTTAAACGCAAGTTCTTCGTCTCTCCACGTCCAATTATCAATTTACGAAAAAACTATTATTTTTTCCTTCCGGTTAAACGTGAAAAATTATGTTTTGACGCTAAACACTAGGTAAGTCTAGCTAGAAGTCATTCACACAAGGCTTGCTTGACAAAATTGTGAGAAATATGGATGGGCTTGCAGAGGTTGTCACAAACTAATTCATTCCTCCTTCTTCAAATGGTCCAAAACACCAAGATGAATTTATCTTTTATATCGTTGTCAAGAATTGATAACATATGGAAAATAAAACTCGATAGTATAAGTTACTTGTTATATAAGATGACAAAGTCAAGCATGAACCCAAGCTTCCTTAGAGCACTCGTAATCCACAAAGACATGCCAATCAGTTTTTACATCATTATTAAATGATATATGACAGGGCATTGAACTCCCTCATTAATCAACCACTGCCAAATGGGGAGGATTCTTCTAGCCAGCTTCAAAAATAAAATTTTTTGTGGTAGCTTTAAATTTTATGTTTACATCCGGTCTTCATACCCATGCAATGATCTATTATTTATCACATGCTTCATTATAGTACGCTGATTTAACAGAAAACCTATCATCCCTAGTAAGCTTCCATATTAATACATTAATTATCATCATATGGTAATAAAAACATGCATAGACAAAATGTATTGGACATCCCGATCCATAAATAATTGCTCAATTAGCTCAACATTCCAAGTTCCAGTTGCATGGTGGATTCACTTTCAAGTGCTCCAATCCAATTGGTGAAATGGGTTGAACATAGGAAATATCAGTTGCACGTAACCAAAGAGAGCTTCATGATTATGAAAGTTTAACATAAATCTAGCTCTATCATTGTATATTCATATTACATTAATAAATGATAAGAAATTTCATTCCTTAGCTGTCATTAATTTTTGAATTGTTTAATAAGTTTATCAAACTCAAATTAAGTGTTCAGAATAAATCAGATTCATCAAATAGAATGACACATAGGGACAGGACTATTCGCTTGCTGTCTTTTTGTTTTTGATATCTTAATAATACTTTTTTGTATGGAAAATAAACTCAAGTGTCTATATATAATAATTTAGTTAATAACAATAACTCCAATTTCTTTGTGTTCCAGAAGAGCCTATTGATTTTGTTCAATTCATTTGCCCGGAAACATTGACTCAGTTAAGCTTTATTGTTTCCTTAAAATGAAAGAAATAGGAATTGGTAATAAATCTGAGACGGTCATTGTTTAAACAAGAGTATTTAAATGTTTGTCCTTGCTGATCTGGTCAAAATGAATCCATCTCTGCTATAGAGTAGTTCAAATCTCAAAATTAGTGTTAAATTTCACTTTCATGGTCAGATTTCATAAAAGTCAATTTGTATGTCTTCAACCATATCGCACAAAGGAAGATTTAGATAAAAAGAAAAAGAAAAAACTGAATATTTTTTATGACTTTATTAATAAACCAATCCATTATCCATGGTTAGATAATTTTTCCCTTAAAAATTTCAAGTGCGGTAATGGTGCTTTGCAGGTTATTTTGTTAAAAAAGAAAGAAAAAAAAAAGAATTTGGAATGTAACAGGGTAGAAGCCTGTCATCACAGTGAACCAATGTTCCTTTTTTTTGGTTTTGAAAAAGAAATTCATATAAAGCCATTGACAGTTAATTAACGGCTTTAAGATATTCTAAACTAGTTGGCAGTGCCAAGGCATACAACAACGCCAGTCATTTAACGCCACCCGTACGCAACACCTTTAACAAGAATTTATTTTATTAAACACTAGTAGGAAATGGATATTTTATTTTCTGGGGGCTTTGAAAAAAGTTAGTTGTAGAAAAAATAATTCAGATTTCTTTTTTCTTGTATAGTATTTTCAAGAATATTTATTGATTTTATTAAAAATTAGTATCTCTCCAAATCTTGATTATATTAATATTAAGGTTATTTTTTTAGAATTATTTTTTTAATTAAATTTAATATTTGAGACTTTGAAATTTAAGGGCTAATCTCAATAATAATCGTAGAAAAAATAATTAAAATTTGAAAATATGTTTTAGGTTTATTTTTTTATTTTTATTTTTGATGGCAGAGAGTGAGTAATTTTAAAAGCTACAAAGTATGTATAATGAATTTAGGAGTAAAAGTATTTAATAAGAATGTGGAAATTAGATGGATAATTTACTAAATTATATCTCCTTTATAATATATATACTTATATATATATTATAAATTTAAATATGTTTTGACTTTTATATTTTTATTTTTAGATTCTTGATATTTTCTTATTATTTTATTTTAGTGCATATCATTAACTATGATAGTTAGTTTTCTTGATTTGATCCTTAGTGGTTTTAATAATGATAAGTTCTTATATATTTAAGTTATAATAATGGTGAAATAATAGATGGATTAATTTCTCATATGAGTGTTTCAAAATAAACTCATAATAAATATACTAGAATATAATTCATAATGATTTTCAAGATGAAGAAGAATAAAAAATTTCTACAAAACTCATTTGGGTGATAAAGAGAATACTCATCTCTAATAACTTAGTCAGATTTACAAAATACATATGAAAATAACTACGTTAAAATGAAATTGTCAAGATTAAAAGTCATCTTAACAATCTATTTTCTTATTATGAACATTTCCATTTATAGAATCAAGTCTCATACTTTTTTCTTTAATCTATCTTAAAAGAGTTTATAATGGGTTAAGATCATTTACTTCTATTTGAATTAGAATTCAAAAAAATACACCTTTCTTCTTATTTATATGTGTCAATCTATTGTCTTTCTTTATACCTAAATTTTACTGATTAATATCTACTAAGAGCTGTCAACCATACAAGATGAGTATTTATCTCTTAAATAATATAATTCATAACAAACAAAATTTAAACCCTTAGCAACTTAGTTAAAAAATATAGGTAGAGAAGATTTAAACTCTAAACAACTTAGTTAAAAGATATAAATAGTTATTATTTGTAAATAATTTTTTTTGAGTTTATTAGACTAGTATAATAATTTGATTAACATAAAAATAATAATTTTTTATGGGTACATAAGTTAGCACTTAACAAGAATTATCCTTTTAACATGTTGACACTCAATTAAATAAGACATGAAGGGCAAGTAAAAAACAAAAACTCTTAAATCACCTCTCTTACCAAATTTGTCTAAGCAAATATCATACACTTAAATGTTTATTTTTATAGGTATTATATTGGTAAAAAAACATTTATTTATTTTGGTGATGATTAGTTTTTATCATAAAATTTGGCTAATTATACTTACTAAGCTTTTATTTTTAATTACACTTTTCATTTATAAAAAAAAATATTTTACTTAAATGTTTAATTTTAATTTCAATTTAACAATGATTTGTTAGTATGCCCATATATATATATATATATACTCAAATAAAATTATTTTATTTTTGAGTTATAAAAAAAATTTAATTTAGGTTGAATTTAATATTATTTTAAGAACTTAATTTTTATACAATATTATTGTATTTGTTTTTACATTTTCAATTAATTATAATTAACTTTATATATATATATAGATAATATTAAATGATTAAAATATATTATAATTTATAATTGAATGTAGAAAATATTTTTCAACCAGTATATTTCAACTAAATTCTAACATTTAAAATAATTAATCCAGGACACATAAGAAATTCATTATTAGTATGTAAGTGCATCCTAATTATTAAATTTTATTAGTAAATAATATATGTATATATATATATATATATATATGAGAATGTAAATATTTTTTTATATTTAATTATTCACAAAAAATATATTACGTATAATAATATTTTTTATTTTAAAAATTATATCTAAATAATTTGCTAAAAATGTATATATATTAAACCCTGAAATAATTTCAAACCTATCCAAATTTAAAAAAAAAATGTTTTCTTTAATGTTAAGATTAATTGATTATTTATGATCGTGTACTAAATAGTAAGTATTCAGCTGCGTTAAGCATTAATATTTAAAATATATATAATAATTTTATTTAGCTCAAGTATAATTTTTTTTTATTTTTATGGTGGTGTGAAATAATGAAATAATGAAATATTTTTTAAGAAAGGATTAATAAGAAAGTTGAAAGAGCATAAGAAAAAATAGGGCCCCACCATAGTCGGGAATGGTCCGAAGTTGAAGGTTGTAAAAAAACTCCAGGCTGTATCCTACTCCTGCTGTTCTGGTCATTGGTCAATCAAAAATTCCGAAACTTTTTATTATAAAATAAAATAAAAACAACAAACCTCTCTCTCTCTCTCTCTCTCTCTAAAAATCTCCGCGGTTCTTCACTTCAACTTTGGAGATCCTCTCTCCCTCCCATTTCCATTTCCATTTCGGATCTGGTATCGTTTCTCTCTCTCTCTCTCCTGCATTTCTTTTTCTGCGTTCAAAATCATTTCCTCTTAATTTTCCTATTATTTTTTTGCCAGGAATATAGTACATAGTTTTCGTCACTGTTGAAATTCAAATCACGTGAGATTCATCCATTCATTGAAAGTTGATGGCTGCTCCACCGGCAAGGGCTCGTGCGGATTATGATTATCTCATAAAGCTTCTCTTGATTGGGGATAGTGGTATGTCACTCCTCTCTCGCCTTTTCTCCATATTTCCTCCGTAATATTTCGATTCTTCCTATTGCTAATTACAAAACAAAGCGTTGTAAATTAATTATCTGCAAACAAATGAGATGATTCTATGCACAAACGTCAAACGTTTCATTTCGGTATTTTTTTAATCTCGAATTGTTCAATTTGGATTTTGAGGCAAGTGTGTTTATTGTTTAATTTTTGAGTTTGAATTTTTTCATGATCTGCCTTGAGCAAGTATTTGAATCGTTGTTTCTAATTTCTATTACTATGATATAATTACGATGTCCAGATGTTGAACTGCAAAATCCGTTTGATCATAGTCTGAATATGTTGGACAAATTCTCCTTGTTATCCTATATAATTAGGTTAGACCTCTCTACGTCAACGATGATTTGTTTAATTGAAAGTACAATATGTACTCAGTTTTGACGCGTGTTTCGACTAGCTTATTTTAAAGAATGGCCATTTTTTATTTGCAGCTTCTTAAGAGAGTTTTTGTTTTTTGAGTGGAAAAAAAACTAAACCAAAACAACGTAACGCAAGTTGCTTTTGAGCTTTTTCTTACATACTTTTAATCTGTTTACTCCATAGGAAAGAAGAAATATTACAAGTTGGCGTTTCACTTGAGTTTTTTTCCTGTGCCTTGGATATTTAGCGCATTATATATGTCCATAAATTTAGATCCTTCCACCCTCTCTGTCTTTTTTGTCAGTGGATGAATGAATAGAATAAAATATTATAATAGCATAAAGAAATGAAAAATACTGTGGCCAAAGTAACTGCAGGAGATGTGCATTGGTGTACAAATTCCTTAATTTTTTTCACAAACCTTTTTCTGTTATTCTTGGCTGCAGGTGTTGGAAAGAGTTGTCTTCTTCTTCGATTCTCTGATGGTTCTTTCACAACTAGTTTCATCACAACCATAGGGTGAGTTTTCACAATTTAGGATTAAAATTGTAGAATCTTGTGTGCCAGTAGTTTCCTTTTCATCACAAGGTCTATCCTCCTGGTGCAGCATTGATTTTAAGATAAGAACCATTGAGCAGGATGGAAAACGGATCAAGCTCCAAATTTGGGATACTGCAGGTCAGGAGCGGTTCCGAACAATTACAACTGGTAAGATTTATGATCCTTACATGTACTAGTATCATTGAAAAGTAAAGAATACCAACTCGATCCTTGATGAACAAGCCAACTGCTAATATTCGTACACTTACATTATAAATCATACATGTACTAAAATCTACTCTATTGATTTTCTCATTAAAGGTTGAAGATACCTTACTTTTGTCTGCAAAGTGAACTCATCATTTTAGAACGAATCCCATCTAGTGGAGAAAACACTGCTTGGAATCTGGTTAGTGGCACTTCATGCTGTAGGATGAAAGGTAGAAAGAAAAAAGGAGAAACAATATGTAGGAAAATAAACGAGAGGGAGATGATAGAGAGAAGAAAAAAATAAATAGAGAGGAAAAGTACACTTCAAAATACCATAATTATTATTCAATATCAGAACTGGGGATTTTACTCCTCTCTAAAGTGAGGAGGGTGCACTTTAGGAGATAAAGTATAGTTATAATTGTTGATTAAAAAAATCAATAGTTGAGATTTTAACAACAATTTTTGTTGTACATGAAAAACAATAACAACAATAAAGCTTTATATCGCTAGATGAATTTGGCTACATGGATCATATGTTGTCATTCGGCTCGCTTAAAAATCAAAGCTTCAAGAATATTATTTACCATGAGATTTCAAGCAAAAAAAGATCCTATGTTTGGAATATCCAGCAAGTTTATGCTGTCTATCAAGGGCTTAACACAACTGTCCTCCTTAACCTGGGTTTGGGACTGGCTATAAGAGCATAGGTGGGGTTCTTTGTTATACATGTGCGTGCATTTGATTAGAATTTCAGCTGTTGACGTGCACCTCATCACTTGTTTAGAGCCAAATCCCAAAGATGATGTGACAGACTAAAATAGACAGTTCAGAGTTCAAATTCAAAGATAATTCTAAATCCAACTAAGGCAAAAATCGGATCCCCAAAAATTTATTCCATGCCTAAGCTTAAATTAAACAGTCTTCACTTTCTGTTTGGGTTCCTATTGTCTCAATTGCCAACCACGTAAAATTTATGAGCAAAATATTTTTTGGGGACATTGCCCTTGTGTGTGTGTGTGTGTGTGTGTGTTTTTTTTTTTTTTTTTTTTTTTTTTTTAAATTCAAAATTGATCAGTAATTATTGTGATGATCAGTTGATCACTAGTGAGCCTCTTTTTGAATTATCTAAACTGAACTTTCACTAGTGATACCTGCTTTTTCTCTGTTTGATGTGCCATGAGTTAAATTTCATATCCATTTGAATGGATACTGTTTCATTGCTGTTACTCTATATTTCTTTTATTCTTCATTGATTTTTCAAGCTTTGTGCCAATTTGAGTATCTGTCAAGTAGTTTATTTTGTGCCCTACTTTACTAAAATCCCATATTTCTTCAGCTTACTATCGTGGTGCTATGGGCATATTGCTAGTCTATGACGTCACAGACGAATCATCATTTAACAGTAAAGTTTCTATCTGTTGTTTCGGTTTAAAATTTCGAGATATGTGTTTTTCTCTTCAAAGGCTTTCTCATCTGGAATATTCACCCAGCTTATGTCAATTTCAGATATCAGGAATTGGATTCGTAACATTGAGCAACATGCTTCAGACAATGTTAACAAAATACTGGTGGGGAACAAAGCCGACATGGATGAAAGCAAAAGGGTATGCTAACATCTGGGACCTTTCTCTTTATGAGGTATCTAGGACCTTCGATGCACCTATTTTGTGCAGATCTAAGTCAAGGGAGCTCAGGAAATGAACCATTATTATCATCAAATATATTTGTTCTTACTATTATGCAAGATTTAATCTTGTAGTCTAGGTTAATGTTTCTTTGAGATTTAACCCAACACACCAATTCACGTTTGCACACTTAACCATGTGCTTTTGAAACCAATTTTAGTTGAAATTGAAACTAGTTTTTTCTCCTCTTAACATCTGTTTCCCCATCCAAAATCTTAAACCAACATGCTTCAAAATGTTAGAGGAACCATTTGTTAGACCATTAGTGAATGAAACAATTTTGGTGAGGTTGAGAGCAAAGTGGTTAAGGGGATTGAGTTTGATTTGATGTCATTAACTAAATTAGTAACATCTGGGATCATCTCTTTCTCAAATGTTTGTCAAATTTGGGATTTTAAATCATATATGCCTTTGCCTTTCTTTCTAGGCTGTCCCTACCTCCAAGGGCCAAGCACTGGCCGATGAGTATGGAATCAAATTCTTTGAAACAGTAAGTGATGTATACATTAAAATGTGGAAACTTCCTTAAGATTTTTTAATTTGTTATTATTATGTACTGAAAAAAAATCTATTGCAGAGCGCAAAGACAAATCTAAATGTGGAGGAAGTTTTCTTCTCGATTGCAAGAGATATAAAACAAAGGCTTGCTGACAATGACTCTTCTAAGGCCGAGGTATTTTGAATTTCAACTTCCTTCAATTCAAGAACTGAGTTTATATTTATTAATAGCTTTCTCTCCATCATTTTGAATGTCTCACCATATTTTCATGGCAGCCAGCGGGAATTAAAATCAACCAACAAGATCAGGCAACCGCCGGGCAAATTGCACAAAAGTCAGCTTGCTGTGGCTGAGGAGGCAACATTATTTTCCAAGAACAAGAATGAAGGAGGAAAATACATGTATGATGATAAATTGATGATGATTCGTGCTTTTGCATTTTACGCTGTCATTCTTTAATAGTTTCTTTCCTAGATGTTATATATTAATTCAGAGCTAGATATGATTGTGTCATTGGCCCTTGTGTTGTTTTGTTGGGACACAAATCCATTGGTCGTTGATATTTTGAATGGTTAATTGCATTGATATTCTTTAAAACGTAATAAAGTTATATTAACCCATTTTTAGTTTAAAAAATTACAGCAGTTATTTCATGTTAAATATTACTGAGCAAAAGTATATATTTGCTCACTTATATTTCAGATACATATATTCTGAACATTTTATATTTCATGCGAGTACAAACTATGCCGAACTTATACATGAAAACTAGAAGGGAGGTCATTATAAATTTGTTACACAAAAGAGTCCCATGCATTTTCTATACCTGCTGTGAGATCTAGGTATCTTTCTCCTTTTTATTACTGTTCTCAGTCTTCAAGATCTTCCCAAATATCTGGGGGTATACTTACAATGTCTCAGGTCAAAGAAGTGTTTATGGTGCAAGTATCAGAGAATCAGATTAGCATATTAACCTTGTGGGATTTTCCCCTCCTTTTAAAAAAAATAAAAAAAAATGTTTTTTGGTCTTATTTCTTATTAACAAAAAGTATTTGGACTTACATGGGCTAACTAGAAAAAGCCTAGAAGTTATTCGGTCTAACCTGTACATTTTAAATGTTAACTACAAATAAATAATTTATGTCATAATTGTTATATGGGGGACAGCTAACGACACATTCCTCTTAATATATTCTTTTTTTATTATTTATAATTTATAAAAACCACAAAATTAAGAGAGTCCTTAAATAAAATGTGGGATTCACCTACTTTTGTATTTTTTAATAAATTTCAACTAATAAGAGTGATAAAAGAGTGTGAAATGCTCCTAACATTTCTCTTGCTATATGCTTATTAAAAAAAATTCACACACCACTGTTATTATAACATTTTTTCTTTTATAGTTTGAGGTTTCAAACTATAAATTTTGAAAAGTTATAATGACTTCTTATGATAGAATCAACTTTTCATTAACAAATAAGCATTATATAGTCGGTTGTAAGTGCTGTTATAATCTCCCTTAATTTGAGCAAATATATTTTTGCTAAAAACGAATTGGGTATTTTATTTTAATGAGGCTTTTATATCATAAAAAACATGTTAATAAGCTTGTAGATGACATAAATGCAATTAAATTTAGAAGAATCTTTTTCATAGTGTAAACTATATATATGTAATGCGTGAATAAAAAGCCCAATAAACTATAAAAGACGTAAACTAATTATGTATTTTGTCCTAATAGATTGATATTTGACAATAAATGAATGAATCGTGCAGAAAAATTAAGACAGACAGACGTGTGATGCAAGCTAGCCTAGTTGATGCAAACATTAAATCATGACGTATATCTATTAAGCGGAGGGAATCAATCCTCTCTTGAATTTTTGTATGACTTCGTCACATTGTATTTATCTTTTTTATTTTTAATTGTAAGTATTAAATAGGTAAAATTTTATTAAAATTTGTGAATATTTATAAAGAGAGAAATAGACATAATTTTTACACAAGTTCTCTCATTAAGAGAGTACTTGAAAGAATTTTTTATATAGAATTTATTTGGGTTTATGTTCTAATATAAACACTTGAACTAAATCATTTGTAATTTTCTTTTGTTAATTTATTTTATTAAGTTTCATGGTAAATATTTTAAAATATGGATAAAAAAAACCATTCTTATTATAAGGCATAGTTTAAAAGAAATTTTTTATCCTTTTCTAAGACATCTTACTATTTCTAAAAAATATATTTTTTTTTTGTCTTTTTCTAGTAAAAATATATTGTGAGAATATGTGTTTTTCTCTCTTACTTCTTAAACTCTATCCAATTGACACTTATCATTTTTGTGATATTAATGTATAAATTTGATAAAATAATATCTCCAACCCTCTCATAAAAATTTAATGATGAGTAATAAATATAAAATCAATAAATCATGATTTTATTTTATAAATATAATATAATAAAATAACATAATTATTTATATTAGTTCGTATGATTCAATTAAAAATTTCTTATAGTAATAATAAAGATCAAAAGGTATATAAAATAGATAAAAAAAATATTTATTTCAAAAGTCGTCTCAATTACAACAGTTCAGTTCATATTTTTAGTGCTTATAACAAACTGTTTTTGTGATAAATTTATCTTATATGAAAAGATTACTTAAGTGATTTATCAATCAGTCCTAATTGCTTTTCTATGTGGAAGATTGGACCCATGTGTCCGTTTACATACATGAGCATTTGTTTGGAATCGATGCGAAATTAGATAATATAAACACAAAAAAACGATATTTAAACAATATTTTTTACAACACTTTTTAATAATTTTTTTTTTTCCGCGGCTCATGTCACATCCTTTATCTTAATTATCCCCCCCCCCCCCCCCCCCCACC